TACATTCTTTTCATGTTTTATTTTAACTTGGGGCACAGGAAACATTTTTAAACCATATTATTTGTTCTTGGTTGACCCTGGCGGTATATAACTAATAGAAGGGAAAGAAGACTGCCTCCTCTCTGTTAACTTCTGCTGCTCTCTACATGCACGAATTGGAAAGTGGAACCACAACTTTAGCTTTGATGTGCACAATGCCAGTGTCTTCCATGCTCCCACTATGACAGGATTGCTGGAGGACTACAAGGACCCTAAGTCCTGCTAATAATAAAACCACAATAAAACCATAAAACATGCCTAGCAATACGGATGGAACCAAACTACAAGATCAGTACAAACACCATCATCTGATCATCATCAGAAAGACACAAAGACAGTGGAAATACTTAAAAACATATCACAAACAGTGCAAAACAGTAGACATGGCATTTTAGACATGCAACAGCACCAAACACTGGTATTTGGAACAGTGGTATATTTCAGAACACTGTTTTAGACAGAGAGTTGATTTTTCAGTGTTTGGATTTTTGGTGCAAGCTCACCTCTGCCCAGGTTGAGCATCACCTGCTGAATGAACTGGAAGGTGTTTTTCATGCATTTAGGGTAATCTAAGTGCAAGGCATAGATCAGTCCAAAAAGATCACAGAAGGCCTGTGGTAGGTTGGCCAGCTCCTCCATGACCACAACCCCCTCCAACACGATGCCTACTCTGGATGGGTTGAGCTGAGGATTTTCATCAATGCAGAAGATTCCCACTCGCATCTGACTGTACAAGTCCTTGTCAATTGCGTCCTGACAGAAAGAAACAGGAGAATAAATATAACTTCTCAAACTAACAAAACACAACAAAGTTAGCCATTAGAAATGAGTAAACACGGCTTCCTCCGCCTCCTACGTCACATCCGCCTTCTTCTTCGCTTGGCAAAGTAGCGGCGAATCGCTACTGTGCAGCGGAAGATGTCAGCCTCCGTGTAGGGGGACCCGAGGTATATGTACACATAAATGCGAAATCTGAAGTAATAAAAACGTAACGACTCGTTTCATAGGGTGACTATATAGCACTAACAACATAGTTATATGTATTATTTTACATTTCTGTTAATAGATCACCATAAATATTACACACTGGACCTTTAATCACTAAAAGAAACAACGCACCTGCATCATTTACAACAAATGTAGTTACTTACAGAGAAGGTTTAGAAGAATTCAGAGGGATCATCCCTGAAGATGACCTGCAGTCCCCGAAGACAAAGGCACCTTATGTCTGTTGGCTGCGTGGTCTGCAGGATAGTGGACATAACTAAATCACATATAATTATTAAATACATTCATTGACTTCCCCACAGTTTTTAATTACTTTTAGGGCTGTCAAAGTAACATGTTAAATTAATTATAAAATAATGCAGATTAATCAGACTGCATCCATGAGGAGAATCAGGAAACTTCAGCTCACTCTACAGCACAGTAGGTGGAAAGAGAAAAACAAAAAAACAAAAAATATCAGTTGAAAATATTTATATTTTATATTTAACTGCTGTAAACTGCAATTTCCATTAGCTTCCGAGCTAACAAGTCTCTAGCAAGTGGAAATATCCATATTACTGGTTAAAACAACGTTTTTACTGCTCACAAACAGCCACTGCAGATAAATCTATGGACTATGGAGAGAAAATGTCTTTAACTGGTTACAATGTTGTTTTCTCTACTCTGGAGCTAAAATGTGACGAACGTTAGCGTATAATCTTAGCTGATTAAAACATTTTTCAACCTCAAACAGCCAACTAACACACAGTGGCAACTCTAAAATCAAATATTAAAACACAATGTGGTCGCTCACTCACCAGATTCAGTCGTCCTGTCGATAGGCTAACCGGGACCAACAGGTGAACGGGAGACGTAACGGAAATGCTGCATTCAAGTGCTGCCAGAATAATCGGAAAAATTTATTCGAACTTCAAGTTAATATAACCTATACATTTTGCTTAGATATAACGTGCAATAGAATATTAACGTTAATTGCTGTCCATGTAGAGTGACTATAGCACAAACCCTGATAATAAGTCAGTATTTTTGTGGTTTCAGGGAATGTAGGTTACTCATGCAGCAACAAGTCTGGGACAAAATAAAGCTTTAAACCGTCTCAGCACGTTTGATAACGTGAATCTCCACTGGTATGCTATCAATGTCTTTGTAACACTCTGAAAAATATTAAAATACAACACATCTGTTTTGTAGCATCCATGTTGTTCCCACATTATTTCCCACAAAGTCGGAAAAATTACTTCCCAACTCAGGAGTGTATATTCTACTTCTAATTAGTAGAATATACTTACATTTGATAGTAATGCAATCAAACTTAAATGTATTGATTACATTGTACTTGATTGTTTGATTAGATAGGAAATCCGGGCTAACAGTGTTCAGGGATTAATAAAGTCTATCTATCTATCTATCTATCTATCTATCTATCTATCTATCTATCTCAATTGAAATAAAATAAGTACAAACTAAATAAGTGATAAGGAGTGATAAAGTCGTAACAGTGGTAAAAGTGATCAATTAAATTGGGCAAAGAATGTTAAATTGACATTTGCTCAGGACACAGTCTGATTGCCACAGGAAGAAAAGACTTCCTCTGGCATTCAGTGTTACATCGGGGGGGGGGTCGAGGTTAGCACCTGGTGGAGAGGGTGAGCGTTGTTGTCCAGGATACTGTGCAGTTTACACAGCATCCTCCTCTCAGACTCCACCACCAAAGAGTCCAGTTGGACCCCCAGGATGGAGCCAGCCTTCCTGGTGATCCTGCTGATCTTCTTGGCGTCTGCTGCCCTCAGTCTGCTGCCCTCAGCCTGCTGCCCTCAGCCTGCTGCCCTCAGCCTGCTGCCCCAGCACACAACAGCAAAGAAGATGGCACTGGCTACCACCGACTGGTAGAACATCCTCAGCATGATGTTACATACGTTGAATGGCCGGAGCCTCCTCAGGAAATAGAGTCGACTCTGGCCCTTCTTCCAGTTTGTTATCCAGGTGTACTCCCAGGTATTTGTAATCCTGGACAACATCCACAGTCACACCGTTGATGGAGATGGGTGTGGGGGCAGATTTCCTCCGGCGGAAATCCACCACCAGCTCCTTAGTCTTGGTCGAGTTGAGATGCAGATGATTAGTTGCACACCACTCGACGAAGGAGTCCACAACGCCCCTGTACTCCTCCTCCTTCCGCCCACTGACACAGCCAACAATTGCAGTCGTCTGCAAACTTCTGCATACTTACTTTTATTTCTTATACCACTTATTTATACATTCTATACATTTTTATATTGCATTTTTTATTGCTTTTTTTTATATGTCTAGGTTGTTCTCTTTACTTACTGTTACTGTGTGTAATGCTGCTGCTACACTGCAATCTATCTATCTATCAACATTATATCCAGTATGTTCTCAGCACTGAGGAAAAGTAGCAGCACATTGTTTAATTGTTGGTTCTTGGTGTTTTTAGTCCTAATCTGTGATGTTGTTGTAGAGCTGTTATGTGGCAGTAGTAGTAGTGTCTCCTGTGGGTGTAATGCAAATATATTACTACAGTGTTTTTGTAATTCAGCTCCTGGCCACCGGCGGCAGCATTGAGCTGTATAACAGCAGCAGGACGACGCTGAGAAACAATGCGCCATCTTGGATTTCACATGTAGTGAGTTTAGTGTGATTCACTGTCACTCTGTGCTGTTTATGTTCCTTCACAACCACCTGACATCGACGGAAAGACTTCTGAACGGCGGCTGAGACTTTAAGCCTAATTTCAGTAATGAACAAACACTTTGAAGCCGGTAACAGTGAGCCGTCGGCGGGAGAACAATAGAACAAATAGAATGGTGATATCATTTGGTGACGTAAGCTGCGATGGCCGAGTGGTTAAGGCGTTGGACTTGAAATCCAATGGGGTCTCCCCGCGCAGGTTCGAACCCTGCTCGCAGCGACACGGTCACACCTTTTCTCAATTACAGTTTTATTTTAGTAAAAAAAAGTTAACCGTTTTGGGAAATATGCTTGTTAGTCTCATCACCTGAAACCAAGTAGAGGAATACTAGAAATCTGATGCATTAATAATTCAGAATCAGAAATACTTTAATAATCCCAGGGGGAAATTACTTTCGTTACAACTCCAGCTCTACATGCAACATATTTACATACAACATATAATATTATTAAGAACATATATACACACACAAGGTAAAGTGTAAAATGTACAGTATACAGTATATATATAAAGATATCTATATACACAAGGTAAAGTGTAAAATGTACAGTTTTGAAAATGTGCAAGAAAGAAGAAAGTGCAGAAGTGGTTGTCCGTGTTTGAGTCAGATGACAGAGAGGGGGGTGTCTGACTCTCTGAGGGAGGCATTGTAAAGATTAATGACCACAGACAGGAATGATTTCCTGTGGTGCTCTGTGGTGCATCTGGGTGAGAGGAGTCTTCTGCTGAAGGTGCTCCTCTGCTGGGCCAGTGTGTCGTAGAGAGAGTGTGAGACATTGTCCAAGATGGACTGAAGCCTGGACAGCATTCTCCTCTCTGCCACGGTCTTCAGGGTGTCCAGCTCCTCCCTACGACATCACCGGCCCTCCTGATCAGTTTATTTAGTCTGTTGTTGTCTGCGACCCTCAGCCCACTGCCCCAGCATGTGACAGCGAAGAAGATCGTACTGGCCACAACAGACTCATAGAACATCCTCAGCATCCTCCGGCAGATGTTAAAGGACCTCAGCCTCCTTAGGAAAAGAGTCGGCTGTGGCCTTTCTTGTAGACCGCCTCTGTGTTTCTAGTCCAGTCCAGCTTATTATTAAAGTACACCCCCAGGTACTTATACTCCTCTACAGTGTCCACAGGGATGGAAACAGGGTCCCAGGTGATTTCACCCTCCTCAGATCCACTATGAGCTCCTTAGTCTTTGTCACATTGAGCTGTAGATGCCCACCACAGTCCTGTATTCATTCTCATCACCCTTAATTAAAAATAATTAATAATTAATAAAATTATGATAGTTATTTGATGATTGCTCATATATTTACTTGTCTTCTAGCTCTGGTTTTGGTCTCCACTGACTCCTGAAGACACTGTCCACCTGTCTCAGGGCTGCTAACTCAAATTCCTAACAAATACTGACCAATTCCTAACAAATACTAACTCAAATCCTAACAATTCCTAACAAATACTGACCAATTCCTAACAAATACTAACTCAAATCCTAACAATTCCTAACAAATACTAACTCAAATCCTAACAATTCCTAACAAATACTAATTCAATCCTAATAATTCCTAACAAATACTGACCAATTCCTAACCAATTTACCTACCAAGTCCTAACAGTCACGTGACAACAACAGTAATGCCCCCTTTGACAGCATGAATAAACAAAACAGCAAGCAACGGGCTTTCACATCAGGACAACAACTCCGTAAGAATAGCAGAAAACCCGTAATGAATTTTTCAATATATTTTTCATCCCCCGCCACAAAAACCTCATCCTCCGGCACCGGCCCCATCTCCGTGGATCGCCACAGAAAATGGAGAAAGGAAAAAGCCGCACCTGAAGACCAGGAGCGTGTGGCAAGAGGTGAGCCTCCAGAAAAGCGGCATTGCAAAGAGGACTGCCGTTATCAGTGTAAAAGACGTGTTCAGTCCAAAAACAAAGTCACCGGCCACACAGAGATGAAAGGAAAGTGGTGCTGTCCTTCATCTGGACAGACCATCACAGAAAGGAAAGAAACTCTTGAAATGCCGTAAAAGTAGTTTTTAGTTAATTGGTTATGAGTGTGTTTGTTTCTGAATGTGAAGTTTACCTTTTTTTATTATTTATGAGTGAATATGTGAAAAATGTGTTCAGTCAATAGATCCTCCTAAATGTTCAGAACTTTTAAATATTGCATGCATATGCATATACATGTATTGGATATATGAGATGTGAGATGTATAGAATCCATGGTTTTAAAAACACCTCAGGACAATTAACGTCTTATTTTAGTTTAAACGTTTTAGGAAGTTAGTTAATTTTCTCACCAGTTGAAGTCAAGTAGAGGAATACTAGAAACTAAAACTACAGTTTTCACCAACCAGAGCAATAATCTATCTCCACTCTGTAGAACACATTATTGTACTTTTAATGTAAATTACACGATAATCAAGTAATTATTTTACAGTAATAAAGGTGACAATCATCAGTCTTAATATTACTGTAAAAGGTACAATATATTGTAATATAACGTCAGCTAACATCACTACAGTATTTATTATCAGGATTTATTGTGAAAACCTGGTGATTGTTAACAGTGGCGTATGTAACTGTGTGTGTGTGTGTGTGTGTGTGTGTGTGTGTGTGTGTGTGTGTGTGTGTGTCTCAGGATCCGTTCATGTGATCGACTTAAACTTGGTGTGTGTGTGTTGCTGAGGACCCAGGAGAGTGCAGAGTTAAATTTGGACATATGGTGGCGCTCTGACAACAGACTTTATGTTTTGGCATGTAACGTTTGAACCAGAAGTTAAAAATCTTGCATCATCTCCATTTCCCACCATTTTGAATTTTGTCCCCGCTGCTGCTCCGACACATTTATTGGTATTCTTCAAATTTTGACATTAGCTTGTCATCAGAGTTTATTGTATTCAGTGTTGCTGAGCGCTTTGTGCTGTCGCAACCACATTTGCATTTTTTAAAATACGCCACACGTTCGCCGCATAAATGCGGGGCTTGCATGATTTCATAATCTCCGCAATTTCATCACATAAAATTGCATAAATATCCCGCATATTACATCACATTTTTTAAGAAAACATGCCACATAATCACAGATTTTTGCCCGCAACAATCACAAAAAAACTCTTTTCTGGAAGGACTGGCTTCTGTCACAATGTGAGTCTTACTGGCCCAGCGTGCATCATGACGGACGCCATTAATGTAATTACTCTTCCTGGTCCTGTAAATAGGCCGGTACGGATCACAGCAGCCTAACTTGTATTTTAAAATGTTGTGTTTCTCCTGACCAACAGTCCCGAAAAAGGCTGTGTATGAGCAGGAATACAGGGGATAGATTCAGTGTGACATCAGATCAGATGTTCCTTTATTTTACATTGATCCCCTGTAGGAGAAGTTAGACACAGCAGCACAGAGGAATATAGCGTACAGAAGTGGAAGTACAATAAGATAGCACAAAATAATTATATTACAAATATATATATATTTATAATTATATTACAAATATATATATATTTATAATTATATTACAAATATATATATATTTAAAATTATATTACAAATATATATATATATATATATATATTGAGCCGCTTTGACTTGCTTATAATAATATGTAATGTAATAAATATAAAGAACACACCTCCATATGCACAAAACCTGAGCCAACGTTTCTTTATTCTGTAACCAGAACAGTGGATCTGCAGCCAGAGCCCAGTTAGCGGTTAGCAGTTTTTGTTTTTACTGCCGTTTCTGCATCATGCCATATTTTCATTAACAGTTAAAGCAGCCACACATATTTAATAAACCACAACTTTGTTTTATGAACTGAAAACACATGTTAAATACTTTATAATACTTTACAGTCTCATCAGTAAAACAATGAACACATTTTAAATATTTCATAAATGAGGAAAAATAGCTGCATTTATCAGGAAATTCTCCTCATTGATCCGTGAGCCATTTAAAATGTCCTGCGAGCCACGTTTGGGTGGTGAATGTGTCCTGACACTGCAGAACACAGAGATATTAAATGTATTTGTGGAACTGAAGAGAGCAGAGGATCCATCGAGCTCTGGGTTGTGGGTCCGCTGCCCCAACTGCTGCTCCGTCTTTTTCCGTAGCCCCTTCAGACCCGCCTTATGTTCCAAGGTTGTGAAAAATATAATAATGACTTTTTCCCATCCTTAATGCAACCAGAAATGAGAATCAATAAAAAAAATGTTTTTAATCAAAACCCTTTAATTG